CACCACATAAGCAAAAAGAAAAAAGCTATAAGTGGCGCTGTGACTCAACTGGTAGAGTGCTAGCCTTGAGCTGAAGAGCTGAGGGACAGCGCCCAGGCCCAGAGTTCAGGCCCCAGGACTGGACCCCCCCAATAATAATAATAATTTGCTCTAGCTAGACCCTGGTGGCTGATAGCTGTAATCCTAGCTACTCAGGAGGCTGAGATCTGAGAATCGTGGTTTAAATCCAGCCTGAGCAAGAAAGTTCGTGAAACTCTCCAATAAACTACTAGAAAACTGGAAGTGGCGCTGTGGCTCAAGCAGTAGAGCACTTGCCTTTAGCCCAAAACAGTGCTGGGACAGCACCTAAACCCAGAGTTCAAGCCCCATGCCCCATCTAAAAAAAAAAATTGCTCTTGTTCCATCCATGTCCTTGCAAATGCCATTATTTTGTCCTTTGGAATGGCTGCACAATATTCCATTGTACGTAGGTACCACAATTTTTGGATCCACTCATCAGGAGTGGGGCATCTGGGTTGTTTCCAAAACGTCTGCCATCTAATATGGAGTGTGAAAAAGTAAGCAGAGTCCAAGCCATGGAAGAGTGCTTCTTGGTGAGGTGTAGGCTTCTTCAGTGATGGGAACAAGGAACAGCTTTGCCACCAGGCCTCACTGTCCTAAACCCACTAAGCAATTGTCACTTGTCACCAATTGGTTCCAGTTTCCTGTCTGTTTACAGACACATACACATGCCAAGCAACAGCCCCATCTCTTCATCAGCTGCATGCACATGCACACGTATGTACAAGTGCACACACACACACTCACACACACACACATACACCTGCTTATCTTCATGAAAACTTGCAGCCTATGGCTGCAAGTCACTCAGTCAGAGCTAAGTCCCTCTCAGGTTTACTTTAATAACACCTCCTGTCTCTTAATCTCATTGCTCATTCAAACCTTAAGCCCTTTTCTGACAGACTTGTTGGATGCAAGTCGAGTGACACATGAGAAGAGATCTCAGAAATAGCAATGTGCACACCACAGTGCCAATATCTGTTACCTTTCAAGTCATCCAAATCAGGAAAAGCCATACTTTAACCCTAGTCCAGTCCAATGCATAGGATAGATGAGTTGGCCTTGGTCCTTGTGTCTGGCACGAGAATCCAGCAAGACAGGAACACCATAAAGGTCAGAGGAAAGCTTGTTAGAAGAAACACTATGGAAAAGATGGCACCTGCATGTCCTCCCTGCCAAGAGCACCTGCAGCCAAGAGCACAGGGCCAGCCCACTGGAACCATCTGCTCGTCCAGCAGGGAAGGGTGGATGTGTGCATCCCCTGGCTGAAAGCAGGCACAGAGCACAAACAAGCATGGCACCAAGCGGTGTGTGCCCCTCCTCCAGAAATTTAACAAGCCATCACTTCACCAAATATCCAGTGTTGGGCCAACGTCTGATGATGAGAATCCAGAACCAGCAGTGACAGTTCTGATGCAGACCCCAGCGAGAGCCACCTGCTCCACAGCCTGAAGAACTGGAAGAAAGAAAACTTGCACCACCCAGCAGAGGCAAATCCAAAGTCTAGCAAAATCCCTGCTAAGGAATCCACTAGTGTTCAAAGAAGTGAGAAGGAGCTAGCCCAAATGACCCTTGCTCCTCATGCTAACTGCATTGCTAGCCCAAAAGGAGATGACATTTGTGAATGAAGCAGCTATGTTCATCCACCAGGTTCTGCTGATGTTTTCTTTCCATCAGATTATCTGCTTAAACCACCAAAGGTTACTTTCCACACCAGAATCTACCACTGCAACAGCAGTCAAGAGCCAGGGAGCCCTCAGACCCAACATCCTTACATAGGTATACAGGGTTAGCTGCATCTTGTTCCCTTCTGACACACTACAACCTTGCAGATAATGTGGTTGGAAGCCCAGCCACTCAGTATTTGACCAACAGAGCAGAATATGACAGGATAGCCAGACGGTGGACACAGAGATACTCCACTGAATTCAAACCATTTGTATGCAGTGTAAAGGAACCAAAGTCTGCTTCTCACTCTGCTGCAAATCTTTATACCCTTTAAAATGTGGACTTCTGTGTATGTGTTATACTGACTCTACTCTTTGCTTTTTGCTTTGAAGAATGGGAGACTCGCTCAAAAGGTAAATGTTATTAAGAGTAGCACTTTGTAGTTGTAGACTAATAATGTTTAAAATGTCTAATTAGCCAGTTCTGATGGCATTAGCCACCAGTTGCTTAAATCTGAGGATAGAGGTTCAAAGCTAGCCAGGTAGGAAAGTCTGTTAGATTCTTATCCCCACTTATCTTCCAGAAAACCAGAAGTAGTACTGTGGCTCAGAGAGGTAGAGCAATAGCCTTGAGTAAAAGATCTCAGGGACAGTTCTCACGCCCTGTGTTCACGTTCCTTGACCAACAAAAAAGAAAAAGAAAATATCTCTTTGTAGCTGGTTGCTAGTGGCTCATGCCTGGAATCCTAGTGACTCCAAGGAACAAGGTTCAGTCTGTGAGACTAGTATCTTCAGTTAACTACCAAAAAGTCAGAAGTGGTGCTGTAGCTTAAGTAGTAGAGCACTAGTGTTGTGAGGGAACTCAGGTCAAGAAACTCAGAAGCCACCACTTAAGAGGCCCAATTAGGAGTCTTTATTGGAGAGCAGGTAGACTGCTGATAAAGTCTTTCTCAAAGACCAGCAGCTGCAAATGGAGCTAGCATAAAGCTTATACAGTCCAAATCCACATAAGTTGTGAGGAATTTATGGTAACAAAAGTAGTGTACAGAAGCAAAGATAACCAGATGAAGACACTTATACCTAATAAAGGTGTGAAAAAGAAAGACAATTATTTAAGGGAAGTAAAACTTTCCTGGAGTTTAGCAACTCAGGACACCTGTGAATCCCAAGAATGTCCTCTATCACCTCTAGAGTGTTTCAGGGTTGTGTTGAAAGCCCCTGTGCCCAGCAAGGCACCAAGATGGCTGTAAGGACAAGGCATATTGCGTCAATCATATTGCTTAGACCCAACCTCCTAACTTCACTAGTTTTTTTGTTTGTTTGTTTTTGGTCAGTTGTGGGGCTTGAACTCTAGGCTTGGGTGCTGTCCCTGTGCTCTTCAACTCAAGGCGAGCACTCTATGGCTTGAGCAACAGCACCACTTCTGGTTTTCTAGTGGTTTATTGGAGATAAGAGTC